GATACAGAAGATAATCCTAGTGTGGAGGTATCTAAAAAAAAGAAAAAAAAAACGTTACTCCCACACTCGAATTTTCTCCTGTATCGTGGAGGCACTTTTTTAAGTGTCAGAGCCATGCTGCAGCTATATCACTGGTATCTTTGTAGCACGAATGGGTCGGCTCGGCCGGGGAGGGACCACGCTCTCACTGAATACCAGCGTAAAATAGCAGCTTAACGATGCTGTGTTTCGTATGGTGACTGGTGAGTGTAGAGAACCGGAGACCATTTTTACTGGAAACGAGGCATTCCATCTTAGTCGTCACGGGTGTTAACGCATCTGAATTTTGATTCGTAATTAAAGATAGATGTAGATATCTGTGGGCCACAGCAACTGCTTACCATCAGGTGGACTGTGTTTCACTCTTATCTACTTTTACATAAATAAATTACACAAGGACAAACATTATTTGTAGACCATCTAAATACTGGTTTCGTGTGGGTTGTCAACTTTATAAAATAAGTTACAGCGAATATCTTACTTATATTATGATATATAACAGGATATTTGCTAAAATCGAGGATATCTTCATATTGCAACCGACTGCGCATGGTCTAAGTCTAGATGCTGCAAAGTGTCGGCACTTGACCGGCTCCGGCCAGCTGCCCGGCTTTGGTTAATTTGACGCACTCCAGACGCGAATGCAGGCGTGCATAGAGTAATGATGAACAGACACTCATGATTAAATAAAACTACTTTTACGGATTTTGTCGCGTTTAATTTACTTATTTTGATTAATTCCCGACGTTGCCCGGCGTTTTATTCAATGTGTAGTGTTCGCGTAAATATAATAAATCATTAGACACTTATGATTTATATATATATATAATTTTAATGATAAACTAACCTTTATTATTTCGTATTTATGATCTACATAACAACTCATCATGTTGCGGTCAGGGACACTTAAATATCGCACTGAATTGTTATGAAATATAGAATAGAATAGAATATTTTTATTCAACGTTACAAGAATACATACTGAAAGTCATGTAAGCTTTACCACTGGTTCGAAAAAACCTCTGTACTGGGAAGAACCAGTAAGAAACCCAGCGGGACTTTTTTAAACATTAATTTACAATATAATACCCACTTAAATATGAGTATATACATACATTAAATAAGTCAAAAACATGTATATATATAAAATAAGTATGCGCCCAAGTATGTTAGGCTTTTTTTAAGTATATTTTCGTAAATTATTGGTGTTGTGGCGGCGCTGTCGAATCGAAGCCTAAATCACGCTAACAAAGTTCCGAAGTTAAAGCAATATATATATATATATATATATATATATATATATATATATATATATATATATATATATATTGCTTCAACTTTTATTTATTTATTTATTTATTTCTACCTCTGTCTTTACAGGCGTACCTAATACGACAGTGTAGGCACATAAACTATCTAATTTAACAAGGACAGAACACAACTTATCTACTATTATAACACAATATATATAATGTCACTTTTGTGAATTCACCCAAGGAACAGCAGAATAAATCTACATCCTGAGCTAATTTATTTAGAGTGTGCAGCATTCGGGTCAGTGCGGCCCAATATATATATATTGAGCTATTATATATATATAAAGAATGAACGAGGAAAGAGTGACAAAGCAAATTTATATTGCAGAAGTGAACGGCAGGGTCGGGAAGGGACGCCCTAGACGAAGGTTTATCGACCAAATCGGCGATACATTAAAAATGGGCCAGATTAGGAGTACCCTTAACCGACGAGCGTGTATGCGTAGATATATGGATGTAAAAGAGGCGAGAGAGGTGTGTCAGGATCGCGCCAAATGGAAGTCCGTAGTCTCTGCCTACCCCTCTGGGTGACAGGCGTGAGTCTTAGAGAATTACAAAATAGGGCATTTTGCCACTTTAAACTTTCTAACTTTTTGGCAAGTTTTGAACGTGGTAGCGCCATGCTGCAGCTATATTATGGTTGTATCACGAATCGGTCGGCTCGAATGGGTACGGACCGCGTTTTTACAGAATACAGCGTAAAATAGCAGCTTAATGCTGCTGTGTTTCGTACGCTAAGAGTAAAAAATCTGAGAACCTTTTCACGAAAACGAGGCATTCCATATTAGACATTTTAATTCAAATCTTAACTGGGCATAATAATAGATATATATAAGCCGAAGCATCTACTTACCATCAGATGAACTGTAAGTCCGTTTGACATCTTTATTCTATAAAAAAAAACTATAAATATATGAAGTAAGATTTGTATTAATGTGATAAAAAATCAATCAAATGAATCAATTTTTTAATCTCCAATAGTCTATTATATAATAATTGTATAATAGTTTAGTATTACACAGCCTATTTTATTAAATCGCATGCATTCTCTGCTACTAGCTAGTCTGTGTTTGCCTGGCTCGTGTTATCGCGTTCTCCATTTAAATATTTTACAAGACAGCTGGCAACACTGCTCAGCCTCAATCGTTGCCATAACACCACTGTCAGTCAGCACTGTTCAGTTAGCGAAATGCCAATAAAAACTAGAGTAGCTCGCGATTTCTGTAAGAAAGGTGGCAGGAAGTTGGGAAATAAATTGCTTGGGGAGAACGATGATGAATATTTTATTCTATTGGTGAAGGTTATTAATTTCAACTTTTTGTTGTTGGATTTACTCTAGACTGAATTTTCTTTATTTTCTTTAAAAAAAGGCAAATATTATTTTAGTAAACGACGAACAATTTTATTTCTTTATTTCGCCTATTTGTTTTTTGTACTTTTTATTCAATTTAAGATATAACGAATGGTAGAGCAATGCTGCAGCTATATTATGGTTGTCGCACGGATGAGTCGGCTTGACCGGGGAAGGACTACGTTCAATGGTGCTGTGTGTTGTATGATGTGTCCTCAGTGGTGACAAAACATTTGCATTTTGATTCTTAATCGACGACAGACGTCGATGTCTATGGACCACAGCATCCACTTACCATTAAGTGGACTGTGTGCTCGTTTGTCACCCTTATTCTATAAAAAACAACTAGGTTTAACCGGCAATTTTATTCATGGTACGTGTATGTAATGTCAGAAGAAATAATAAAGCTAGGTTTACTTGGGTTTACTTCGAATTATTAGTTAGTTAGTTTTAGGGTAAAGTCCAAATAATTTATGAAATGTACTAGCTTGAAAGACATTGTTGTTTTTTTCAGTTTCTATCCGAGTATTTTTACCATTTATGAAATTTGTTAATAACTCGATCACAGCGACAACTCACCTCACTTACTATAAAGTTACATATTTTAGTAAAGAGTAAATACAATACAAATTAAACAAAGAGTTCGTGGGGTTCACGTTTTTTTTTATAGGATAATGGTGACAAACGAGCACACAGTCCACCTGATGGTAAGTGGTTGCTGTGGCTGATAGACATCTTCATCTATCCTCGTTTGCGAATGCAGATGCGTTGTCACCCGTGAGGACTAAGATGGAATGCCTCATTCCGAGTAAAAAGGGCCTCCGGCCACCTGCACTCATCAAGCGAAACTCAGAGGTAAACCTCTACTTCACGCTGGTATTCTGTGAGGTCGTGGTATCATCCCGGTTCGAGCCGGCCCATCCGTGCGACAGCAAAAGCTGCCGCGTGGCCCTACCACTGTTGATAGTTGTTAATAGTTATATATTATATAAGTCCATTTTCTGAACGACCCAATAGATATACTATTTATATATTTTTTTAATGAGACTAAAGTATCTGAATTTGGGATTTTTATTCGTCACGACGAAAGTCAACATAGTCTATGCCAGCTTTTCCATCAACATCAAACGCGATGACCGACTGATCAATCCACTTTCAAAGCGCGAGGAAAATTCATACAAATCGAATCCATTCAACGATAGAGGCCTAAGTCTAGCGGTGGGCTTTTATGAGGCGGTGAACAAGTAGTAGTAAATCTGAACTAAAAATTGAAATTACTAATTTAATGAAGGCTGGTAACCTTCCCCTCACCAGATGTCGCTAGTTGTGAGTGAGGTAAAGTTTTTTTTTGTGAAATTAGTTTTAAATAATAGTTTATCAGTTTCTAGTGTATTATAATGAAAACACAAAATAATGCCTTAGCGGTTTGCTTTTTTTTGTTTTTTGAGCACACAGTCCACCTGATGGTAAGTGGTTACTGTGACCCATAGACATCTACATCTATCCTCAATAAAGAATCAAAATGCAGATGCGTTGTCACCCGTGAGGACTAAGATGGAATGCCTCTTTGCCAGTAAAATGGGTCTCCGGTTCTCTACACTCACCATACGAAACACAGCGGCGTTAAGCTGCTATTTTACGCCGGTATTCTGTGAGAGCGTGGTCCTTCCCCGGTCGAGCCGACCCATTCATGCTACAACTATATTACTAATATATAGCTGCAGCCATGGCTCTACCACGAAAATTGCTCTTTAATTTATTACACTTTTTAACTTTTTTTTTAATTATGCTACCTTTAGTTATATCTATAGTCTGATTTATTCATTTCTAATCTAATTGATTTAAAATATGACTGGATAATACAGGAAGAAACATTAACCTTTACATTTTTCTAAGAAATTATTTTCCTGCTACGAAATCTTTTTTTTTCATAGGATAGGGTGACAAACGAGCACATAGTCCACCACACAATGTCCGTATTTTAGTTTGTCCATTTCTAACGTAATCAATATCAAATTAAACCAATATTTCAGAAAGAAACTTTAATCTCTACACATTTCTCAATTTAACTTTCCCCGCTATGAAAGCTGTCAAATATTTCATCTCATTCTTTAATGGCACCACCCTGGTAGCACAAAAAGTCGTGTCCTCGTTGATTTAAAAGATGAACGCTACATGGCGCAGTCGACAACCCTGTACGTCGTTTGTACTGATATTGGCCCCCTTTTTCACATTTAGGCTTTTGGTAAATATACTCCGGTCTTCATGTTTTATAGACGTGATCTTTGTTGCAGATGGAAGCAAAGGTTAAAGAAGAAGTCCTGGACAACGATTACAGTCAGCCGACGTCCACAGAGAGACGGAAAAGTGAGTTATTTTTTTGTTAACCGTCTGAAAAAAGGTTATATTCCACGATTAATTTTTTTATACATGTCCACCGATTTCTCGAAAACGGCTGGACCTATATTTTTTTATAGGATAGGGTGACAAACGAGCACACAGTCCACATGATGGTAAGTTGTTGCTGTAGCCCATAAACATCTACATTTATCCTCAATAAAGAATCAAAACACAGATGCGTCGTCACCCGTGAGGACTAAGATGGAATGCCTCTTTTTCAGTAAAAAGTGTCTCCGGTTCTCTACACTCACTATACGAAACACAGCAGTGTCCAGCTGCCATTTTACGCTGGTATTCTGTGAGAGTGTGGTCCTTTTTCGATCGAGCCGACCAATTCGTGCTACAACGATACTACTAATATAGCTGCAGCATAGCTCTAACACGTAAAAATATGTATATGAATGATTTGGGCTTTTCTTTGATATATTATGTCACAGATCTAAGCATCGACTTTAGAAACTATTAAGTGGAAATTATTGAAGTTTATTAGAGTTTACTCCTTAAGAATCGTTCTATAAATAGCGTACGGTATGAAAAAAAGATGGGTGGTAAATGAGCGTTAACAAAAGTGAAGCGGTTATGATTTTCCTCTGCGCAACATATTCGTGCGAGGTGCGCCTCCCTCTTTCGTCACCCTCTCTCTCTTTCTAAATATGTGTTTCTCTTTCAGTATACATGTAAAATATAAAACTTCAATTTGTGGAGTTTTAAATAGTATTTATTAATGACGTTACTATTCAAGAAATTAAGAATAGACTAAATTTCGGTCATGGAGGCCAGCCTCAACGGAGACTAGCCATCGGCGCAGGACAGGATTATAATGCCCAAGTGTATGCGCAAGCACAGGTGCACTCTCTATTCGTAAACCGACACGACCGGAGAGAGATCAGGCGCAGGACCGACGGCTTTACGTGCTTTCCGAGGCACGGGGGTGAGACACCGCCAAATTCTAAACTCCGGGCAGCTACTGAGAATTTCTTGATGGAAAAACTTAATAACTGATTTTTTTCGTAGATCTACGGAATTTTGTCATCATCTACGGAACTACGGAATTTGAGGTTGAAATCTACGGAATTTTTAAAAACTTAACAAGAAAAACATTTTTATCATGAGTGTAAAATTAGCTGACAATGTAATTCTCTCTCTCTCTCTCTTCTTCTATGCTGTATGTATTAAAAAAAAAACATTTTTACTTATAAATATTTTTTGTGAAGTTAATCGATTTCAAATTTTAATAACGTAGATATTTTGCATTAAATTACGTTTATTTCGAATTTCGAACACTTCTTGGAAAACAGGCAGTTAATATAAAGTTTTTATAGATGATTGAATAATCAATTATGTCTCTAATTTTTCTAATCCAAGCTGTCTCAATTGTTTTTACAATTATTTAAAAAAATCTGCCGAATAAGTCTTCGCTTTTCCTCTATCTTTTTTTTCGAATTTCTCAAAAGTTGTTGGTTGTAGAGTTTTTCACTGTTACATAAATTATTACCCAAGTCTGAAACACCGTAATTTATCAAATAAACAAACAGAAACCAGAAAAAAATTTATCTATGTTAATTTTAGTGAAGACGGTCCATTGTTTTTCATTCGTCTAATAATTGCTTCAAAATTTTCCAACATCAAGTTAGAACATCACTTTTTTAGTATAACTGTCCACAAATATTTAAGTGTTAATTATTTTATTTGTTTTTTAATAAAAATAATTTAATTAAAAGAAAACAATTAACTTTAATAAAATTTTTATGGTACTTTCTTCTTATATGTGCAGCTTGATTCGATGTTATACTACAATTGAACTTACAGCAACAATTTTACATGACAAAAAGAATTTCTTTAAAAATTTAATCTACTCTATGACACACAAAAATTGTCGATCCTTTTTAGAAGTCTGCAGATCTACGGATATTTTGAAATAGCATCTACGGAATTCCACGGAATTATTTATACCAATCTATGCATTTGAAAAAATTCGAGCTGGCAACACTGGACCCGGTAATTAAGACCGGGACCTCATGACCAAAGACCTGACCAACGAAGCAGTCACGAAATTAGTAATGTAATATCAGTCATATATTTTTAGGTAATATAATTTATGTAACATATTTTATCAAATCAATATAAATAAATATATGGTTAATCTCCTTCCTTTGACTATTGTATATAAGTTAAGACAATTGTTTTTCAGGACTAAACTCCAGTCGTGCGTGTGCGTTGATACGCACAGTTCTATTTAGTTTTTAAAGTCGGTTTTTTAATTTCTGTAATGGCAGCTCTTCACGTTGCCCAACGTTGTGGCGAATGTGTTGGCAAAGATATTAGCCAAGAGTTTGTGATGGCGTCCACACGTTGGAAGGTCGTACAATTTCCTTCGTTTCAAGCCAATGTGCAGACGAATTTATTAAAATGGATATTGGGGCGCTAACGGCTGCTGCGGTTTATTTATTCAAAGCATAACGCTACTACGTGAATGTGTTTAAGAAAAGGGTGATCAAAAAGAAAGTAGAAAAAACGTGGTAGAGCCATGCTGCAGCTATATTAATAGTATAATTGTAGCACGAATGGGGCGTCTCGACCGGGGAGGGACCACGCTCTCACAGAATATTAGCGTAAAATAACCGCTTAGTGCTGTTGTGTTTCGTATGGTGAGTGTAGAGAATCGGAGACCTATTTTACTGGAAAAGAGGCATTCTATCTTAGTCCTCACGGCTGACAACGCATCTGCTTTTTAGTTCGCAAACGAAGATTTTTTTTTAACTCTTATTCTATTAAAAAGAATTTCTTGTGTTCCACAAACAATTTTCGGCTTTGTAGAGCTCTATAAAGAGTTTCTTCATTGGTCATTGTTACTGTCATTTTGTAGACACTAGTTACGTGCGCCCAACGTGTGGATGTGGCATCCATAACTCTGCAACAACCCTTTGATCTTTTGTAAAAAACGAACACTACACGGATCTCGCGCCAACTTGTGGGCCATTATACCCATACATACCAAGTGAAGCACAAAAACCCGCTCTACATACACGATGGCTACCTGTATTGGCCACAACATTTGCCACAATGTTAGCCAACGTGGAGAGCCACCTTAAGAAGCTTATATTTTTATCGCCTACATTTTTTATCGTCGCTACGTCCATCGCGATCGCACTCATCCGTAACAGTTCGTTCAATTTAGGCGCTTGCTAGAAACCTTCGGTTTCGGTAAAATCTTCGGCCCGTTTTGGCCGACGCCGAATGTTTCGCCGATAGTGGTTTTTTAGCCGAAGGTGGCCGAAGCCCAAGCCGCATCCGAAGCTTCGGTCGGAGTCGGACACTAAAATATATATGTAGTTTTATTCAATTTAAGATTCTCTTTCTGGTAGCTGGCAGTCATACCAAAAAAAAAAAGGTAAAACTAACAAGTTAATGATTCCAACCGGTGTGTTTGACGTTTCCAGATGAAACAGCTGCGGATTGAAAATTCAATTTGGAACTGCCACTCACACGGTAATGTTCATTGAGCATGGTGCTTAGGTCCTCCAGCGATTCTGCCATAAGGACTATATCGTCGCCAAATCGAAGGTGAATGACGTACTCGCCATTAATGTTAATACCGTATCCTTTCCAGTCGAGAAGCTTGAAAACGTCTTCCAATGCAGCGGTGAAGAGTTTCGGGGATATAACATCACCCTGTCTTACACCTCTCTGCAATTGGATAGATTTCGTACTCTGTTTCTGTACTCGGATAGCCATCGTAGCTCTACTGTACAAACATTTCAGCACTTCGATATAGCGACAGTCAACTTGGCACCGTTGAAGGGACTGCAACACGGCCCAAATTTCGACGGAATCAAAGGCTTTCTCATAGTCCACATACGCCAGACATAGTGGCAAATTGTACTCTTTGGACTTCTGTACAATTTGCCGAAGGGTATGTATGTGTTCTATGGTGCTAAAGCCCTTTTGGAAACTGGCTTGTTCGGGAAGCTGGAAGTCGTCAAGTCTGCGCGCGAACGATTCGTAATGACTCTCGAAAACAGCACGTAGACGCGGCTCAGAAGGGAAATCGGTCTGTAGTTCTTCAATAGAGCGTTGTCACCTTTCTTGAAGAACAAGACCACCGCACTTCTGCTCCACGCCTCCGGTGTAATGCCACCATGGAGGACGGAATTAAAGAGCTTCTGAAGGACTTCAAGTACTGGTTTTTCACCCGCTTTCAGAATATCCGCTGTAATTCCATCCTCGCCTGGGGCCTTGCCGTTTTTAAAATGTTGGAGAGCCATTCTAATCTCGCTCAAACTGACGTCCAGGATATCTTCGGAATAGTGTCGGATAAGACTCGCTCTTGGATCGTTACTCACACTTGCGTGTGGCTCCAACGATGACGTGTACAGCTGCCCATAGTACCTCTCTATCTCACTCAAAATCTCAGATGCCCCGGAAACGAAACTGCCACACTCGGTCTTCGGAGATCTGTCTGTTCAGTTGCCTCATCATCATCATCATCTCGTCAGGCCTCAGGGTGCGTGCGTTGTATGTTGCCAGATCGAGTCGTCTTAGGTGGCAACCGAACCTCCACCGGAGATTCTTAGCACCCCCTGCCCCGCCGTTACCACGGTCACCACCGTAGCCAGGAATAGCGGGGCCGCCGGGGACTGGGAGCCGTTTCTTTGTTATTCTCATCATCACTATTCTTATGATGAAAGAATTTGCCATAGTTGCCACGCTTGGCGAGCGTGTTGGCAACCGCAGTTTTTTTATTGTAAGTTTGTTGTTATCTGGAAGATGCTGCTGCCCATCTCCTGCCTGTTTCCCTTTGTCGCCTTTTACGACACCCACGGAAAGATATGGGGTAGTGGATATTCTTAACCGCCACTACACGGCGTGAGTGACTAAGGATAATATCTTCGTTGAACCCTCGGAATACGCGTGCTGGCTTCTTCACTGCTGTGGGCATACACCTTATCATTGTGTTTATTATAACT